CATCCAGCTACTCTTACAGTTAAATACGTCAATATGCAATTTTTCCCTGTTATAAGAGACCTACTGTTTGATGGTAACTGAGGGAAGGGGACTATAGGTTTATATAAAGATATATTTTTAAATTAATAGTTTAAAGAAGAACATATAATTGGAATATTGCTCAGAGGAATAATAATGATTGCATAGAAAAATTCAGTACCTCTGAGTTATCTGAAATTAAGAGCTATGGTAAATGTGAGGATATCTTTGGCAGGAATCTTAATATCATTTATTCCTTTATCTTGCTACAGAATAACTATGGCTGTGATTTGGCTGCTTTTTTAATCTACTTATTTTATTACTGTCTATCCCTAGCAGTTTTGCTTCAAAGTGATGAAAAGAAGTGTCTATTGTAATGTGTTTTAAACTTAACCATTTCTGTATTAGTAACCCGCATCTTATCCACTGCACTGTCCGGATTTTGGAGGAACGGAAAGTTATTCTTCTTGTGCTAAGCATCGAAAGATAAGAAAATGGTTGCAACCAGGAGACAAATAATCATAGGCAAATTACTGCCACTTTTGGTTCCTACCACAGCTCCAGGTTCCAGACAATTCACAAGTATCAAAATTCTATACAATCCATGTTGCAGAATTTTGGCATAAATTTTTACTCCTTAAAGAAGCATCCTATGCCTGTCTTCCTTTGAATGCATAGAATTTTTCCATACGATCAATATCAATCTAACATCAAATTTTACGTGATACTGAATTAGGACATTTCAACATGATGCAAACTATAAGATTTTTCACATGGGGGATTCCTGCAGCACAAATAAATGACACAGGACATTCTTACCATCTTTTTCTTCAGGTTGGGCTTGTCAAGTATCAGGCAAAGCCCGATACCTGACAAACAGCTAAATAACATTTTGTGCCAAACGCACCAAATCCAATACTCTGGAGCTCCATCTAGTTTGGGTCGCCCACGTTTTTTATAAAGTTTCTTTCTTTAGTATTGAGAACCCTAAAGTAGTCAAGCGAGTGAGGCTAAAGGCATCACACTAATATATAATATGGTGTAATGCTTCCTCATTCTTGCTTCTTGATTTTATCTAGAGAGGCAGTCATGCTTTTAATAGCTTCTGGCTCTTCTCCAGGTGCTGGTTGAGTGACCTGTTGTAGAGGCCATTTCTACCTCACTCAATGAAAGATTCATTCCCGCTCCTTCCATTGATTTCCTCTGGGTTTCCTTGTTTTGGGAGAAAAAAAGGTCTACCTCAGAGGTTTTGCCTGCAAAAGCAGAATTTCTAGTTATATTGTCATTTTCAGCCATACGTAAACTAGAAAAGAAAGTACAGGATAAATATGTCCACCCAGTATTGCCTGTTGCTGGTTAAGGCAAAATACTCTATATATTGCCAGGCATTCTCTAGAGGCTCCTTTAAGACACTATAACTGCAGTGTCATTTACTTAGGCATGGGTTGCATAACACCAGGGTTACAGGAGGGGGTTCATGGCTTCTTATTTAATAATTGAAGCTATCCTGTCAGATAATACAGAACATCTGGATATCCACCACCTGCCGACATGCCTGGTAACCACTCAAGCCCTAAGTTCTGCCCATCATATGTTATATACTACACTGCTGCATCTCTAAAAGTGATGAATAAGCAAAAAGTACTGTAAAATGAAGGACCATCAGAATATCGTTAACTTTTAATTCAAACACCCAAATTTTGATCAAGCTTCGTGAACATCTGTCACAATTAGTTCTAATAAGTAGCCACATCCCCAGTACAAGGCAGATTTTCTACATGCAAGCAAAGCATATCATCATAGCCATGAATACATTCCAATTAAATACATTCTTTCAGGAGAGGGTAAAATGGTTTCCAGAATATTGAGAAATATATATGCAATGCAAGGAGTTAATTTAAATAATGACATGCTTTGCATATATGCAATCACTTCATTTCTTTCAATCATCACATTCATCTATATTATATTTAAATGCCATAGTATAAGTGTAGTTTTTTAGGTGGATATTTTTTCTATCAAATTCGTAAATTCATGAGAATTACAAATGAGAGTTGATTAAAAAATAATTACTACTTTATACTTATCATCAATACATTATAATAGTATACATTATATTTAATAAAGATATAATATGAATAACAAACCATCAATCATTACTGTAATAAATTATACATTAAAAAATGAGGAGACAGAAAATATAAGAGGTTTATGAGGAATCTGGTGACTTGAAAAAGACCTGTGTATGCTTGTGCCTGTTTCATACTTTATTAATATATACTGTTTTGTAAGAAGCTAGAATGCAGTATATGATATAGGACTTTTTATTGAATAATACTTTAATTTTAAAATGAGCAATTTTTGACAATTACAAACCTATTGTACTAAGAATGATGACACATACAAAAACTCTTTTTATTTTTTATATATATTTAAGGGTAGAAGCAAATTAGCTGAAAATTTTGGTATTTGGGTATTAGCTGACATTCACCAATGCATCACTAACTCCCCATGACTCTGCTTGGAAATTGCAGTGCTATAAGCTGTTCCAAATTCTTTTAGAAAACACAATTTTTTTTTTTTTTTTTTTTTTTTTTTTTTTCGCGTGGGGGGGGGTGGAATTATTTCTTTGCCTACAGAAAGGTGGAGATGGTTTCTTTTGTCAAATTTCAACATCTTCAAACCACAGCAATTTTCACTCGGTGTTATTTGTTTGTTAATTATTTTCCCAACAGAAATGTCTGAGGACAACATCTGTTCATCTTGAATTAATTTTGCATAATACATTTACTAGATTTCCTGAAAGATGAATGAATGTTTCAGATATTTAGCATTTTGTCAGAAAATCATGGCTATTTCAATTCTTTCACAATGAAACTGTACAGGACAAAAGACATAGAATGGAAAAGTAATGGTAACAACTGCTACCAAAGTGTTAGAACACGAACTGGGAACTCAACAGAGTTTGTATGGAGGCAAGGGCAACCCAAAGAGAATAATTATAATGTGTTTCACATCATTTTGAATGCCACTACCAAGCAATATGAGATTTCTATTACAGTTCAGCATCTAATTTCATTGGCTTTCTCGGATGTTCTTGCAGTGAAAGTAAACCATTTCCCTGACTACATAATGAACATCATCAGTCTATTTTTCGTAACTTTATTTAATTTATAGTAATAATAATAATATAATATATTATGATTAATATTAATAATTTAATTTATTTCCATCATTTATGATAAATATTACCCTTATGGTATTTCAAAATAAAACTAAAGAGCTAAGAATTGAACCTAAATTGAAATTTTAATCAATTTAGGTTCAATTCTTAGCTAGAATATAGAGTATATTTAGATATTCCTAGCTAGAATATAATTAGATATTATAAACACAGTTACACAGTTCAATGATTTCTAAATTGCATTATTAATTTCTAAAGATCAATTACACATTTAAGGACCACACCAGTAGCCGACTAGTACTGCTGTTGCCCCTCCCCCCCCCCCGGTGTGATCTCTCCTAGTCTTAAATTTTGCTACCCAGTGCCTCCTCTAAATTCCAAAAAATTTGCCATCCTTAAATTTTACTGCATGTTATTTCTCTAAATTTTAAAAATTTTACTGCTGTTGCGACTGCACTGGTTTCAGCGTCTCTGTCATCGGCATTGCCAAGCAGTTCAGATTCCAGAGGTATAATATCAATGTGGGTCAATTTCTCTTATAAATCTCCTCGAAAGTATCTGTCTCCCTAGGCAAATAGCTATTATGTATTTTCCCATGTTCAAATAACATAACTGATGCTACTAAAGAGAGGAATGCAACGCAGTTGAGAAGTATAAACAACAGCTCATTATCAGGCTGGAAAACTGTAGCTTGATCAAATTGTTTTAGATGCAAGCTAAGTAAATTATTTTAAGGAAAACAAAAATTATAAAAATCTTTCAGTTGCTTTCATTTTCAGACAACAAACTTTGTTTATAAGTTACCATTTAATGTAATAAGTTTAGATTTATCCCTGATCTTTGAAAAAAGTTTATAATTTTATTTCTCTGATTTTCCACACGAGTGGGAACCCTGCAATATATGCCAAAAATCAAAATTCTTGTTTAATCTATTATATTTTATTGTAAGAAAGCCACTAGCAGATTGTTCACTACACTTAAATACCACATATTTTAACATCTTTGCTACATTTGAACAAATTAAAAACTGTGTTTAAAAAGAATTTCACAAAGACTTTAAAAACTGTAAACAGCATGTATCAAACAGCCTAGAAAATTGCAAATGTAGCAGAATGTCATTTACAGTTAAAAAAGTATTCTACCCTTTCAAAACAAATTACATACGTTTAATGTTTAATGAAATATTATTATGAATTAGTAACAATTTCATTTTGTACATTTTTGTTTTTTATTCGCACATCTTTAATCAGTAGTTTATCCTGTAAGATTCACTTGATTAAAAAGATTTCTTTTCAGTTTTCGTATTCATATTTATTTTCCATTGATTTTAAAGTGTGACTTACATTAATTTTCAGTTATTCCAGAAAAAAAAAAAAAAAGAGAGAGAGATAATTTTTCAGTTTTGATCCTACCAAATAAAAAAAAATCTGGCACTTTTTTTTTTTTTCCTATACTTTTATATTTTACAACTACTTTTGTCAATTTCTGTTGCCTTAAAATGAACACTTTTTTCTTAACTAAAAGGTAAACACCAGTCTTGGACTTTTAACTATTATTTAAATTCATACACCATAACATAATCAAGTACTCCTTATCAGATCATATCTTCAATAGCTCTATTTAAAAGCAACATAAAAAGTAACACCAGATTTTATAAACTTTGTATTGTGTAAAAAGGATGCATTTTAGAAAGAATATGAATGATTGAAAGCCCTTGAATACATGAAGTGTTTAGTTTTAGAACTTTCTAATGCATCAGATTGCAGATCATAAGTTTCCTATAAGAAACTGCCACAAATTAACTCGTAAAATAGTACAGATTTTATTTAACTAGCGTAATTTACACGTATATACACATATATTTAAATTTTACATTTTTTTATGCTTCAGTGTTTGATTTTATGTTGAAAGGATATATGCCCAGTAATCTCGCAATGCCTGTGTATCCTAAACCTAAAAGAAAAACTATTATTTAATAGGTAAGTAAGATTATAATACAATATATATAAATTCAATAAATTATGCAGCACACTTTTCAAAAACCGCAGATTTAGTAATTTGTATGAAGAAATTACTAAGATTTAAGCAGTGAATATAAAATGCTAGAATGACGATTGATCTGAATTATAATCATTACCAATCAAATATTCAGAGAGAAAAATATTTACTCGATGCAAATACCAATGACACTACTCTTGTACTTCTCAGTTTTGCTTGTTTACCACGATATAATACATATCCACTTGCAAGGAGAAGTGAAGTGCCACCAATCAGCCGGCACGAAAGGCAGTCTTCTTTTGTTGATTTTAGAACAACAGATTTTGGAATGTCAGACGTTTCGGACGCCATAAATACAACTACAGTCGGAATTTTACCCCTAAGAAATTACCGCGAAATTTGTTATTCCTTTCGAAAAGCTACCATATGCGAAGACTAGCAATAGAAACAATTTAAGCATGCATTATTTTGCTTTCGAAGTTTATTTCAATCACCGTAAGGGGCGCTTTCGTATGGACGTAAACGTCCTTTCAATATAATTCACGGATTTTAGTCTAATGAGAGTAATAGAATAGAACTTTATATATTGACAGATTAATTAAATCTTGTAGTTACATTATAGTAATCCTATTTATCTATACTCTGAATTTAAATGAAGTAGTTTCTATTAACGAAATCCATGAGGAATTACGCATATAGCAGCTTTAAGTTATTCTATTCCCGCACTGCTCGCAAGAAGTTCTTTAATGATCAAAAACGAATCAATAATCCTGTCATCAGGGTATATGATTATGATGTAAACGACCCTTCGTATAGTTAAAAGACAAATGGCCATACTTGGCAGCTTACCAGATTAATGTACCTGCATGCCTCAATTGACATGTACTTTGTATTTGTGTAGCATCTTCTCTCACATATTTATTTATTTATTTTTGGTATTTATATCATGCATATTGTTGCGTGCGTACGGGTTCGTTATGAAATAAATGCACAAGTCCGATGAAAAATGAACAAAATTTATTATTATCACAACAAAAATGCTTGAATTTCCTCAGATATTCGTGCAGTTTTACAAATACCTCACAGTAGTTATCTTTTAACTACTCAAACGTTCAAGAGAACTTAATTCAAAACAGCTAAAGAAAGCTAATCCGCGAATTCGCTACAGTCAACAAGAACAGTTTTCTAAACAAACTCTTAAAACAACAACAAACTAACTAACAACAAGAACGAATTGAGAAATCGAGTCAATGGCTAGGCGGCAATTAGTAGCCAACCGCTACTTTAACCGTCTCTGTTGGTAAATTGTCCTAAGGCGTTGGTACTTAGGTTTTAAATTAAGGCGATTTACGCCGCGCCAACTAGGTGAAACTTGTCAAATTTTGTGAAATGTAGGTGGAGTGGAGGGAGATGATTGGCAGGAGCCTGTCCGTGGGTGGTCACCCACCCAAGTTCAGACTCCGAAAGCAGCGTACGCGTGCAATGAGAAAATATTGGATATATTAATAATTATCAAGTTTTGAAACAGGTTATCCATATTGGAATAATTAAACTAATATCGCGATCTAAATGAAGACAAATGGCACAACTAAGTGCAACAGATTAGCTAAACAAAATATTCAAATTCATCCTTGCTGTAAAACACAGATTGGACAGTGGTAGTCACGTGGGGGTCACCCTCCCGTGAACTGTCCACAGCCAATGCATCTTGAAATTAACGAATTGAGAGCTTCTCATGCCGCTTATATATAAGCTTTTTAAATGCGCGGGAATTTTCTGGAACTTTCTCGAAAGAAATATTTATTTATTTATTAAATGTTAAATGCACGCTCTCTTGTATTTTTAATTTTCCGGCTTAACTTTCCCCTTTAATATTCGTCACGCGCTGCACTGCACGGAGAATAAAACAATTTTAATTATAAATCTACTAACATTAGCTATTTAAATACCAAATTCATAACACTATGTATTGCCTTCTTTTATTTTCTATCGCACCTCTGGGTTCACACTTGCTTAATAAGTTGCATATATATATATATATACATGTATGTCATTTCACAGGTTATCACCAGTGCGACGGCTAACTTCATAGCTTTCCAGATAGCTTTTCACAACATCTCAGATCTTTGCACGACCTACCTTATTATTAATTTAATTATCGAACACCTTTGGCCTCTCTTAACTCCAAAAAGTTATATATTAAAACAAACAAAAAAAATTACGTACGTCATGTAAATATGTTTGTATACACATTTCACATTTCTTGACTTTATTATGTGTAAGCTGTAAAATTTATTTTCCTGTAGCATTCGTAAACAACACTCTTCTTCGATGTGGGGTAGGGTGTTGGACCCAGACACCCTGGTGCTACACCAAAATTTCTCTTCTTGCAAATTTCTTTTCGTGTGAACAATAATTTCATTAGTAGGGAAAATAATTTCATTAGTTTTAAGGGTAACAAATTTTAAATAAAATGTGGATGGGAGTCACATACATTAATACTGCTTATTTAATAACTCAAAAAACATAAATGAAGCAACATGGAGATGAGATTTATTCGCACTCAGACTCATCTTCCAAAGCGAGTAACTTTTCAAAACGTCTTCCCGTATCCCGCTTGCCATCTGATCTTTCAACTGAAATTATCAATGAACTTCATGGTGGGCTGCCGGTTTCCTGTTACCCTACAGGTTCTAGATCAAAAACTGAAATTGAATGTACAGAAAGATCAGCTGCTCTCCGCATGAAGGGTACACAGTAAGTGTGGTAACTCCTCAAAGAGAAGGAACACAGAAGATTCTTAAGGTCGTAAACTAAAATTCGTTCTAAGATACTTTTGCTAACTTAGAAGTTTTTTAGGAAAGTTACTCGTACAACATTTTTCTCTGTATTAAAACACGTCTCGCTACTATAGACACATACACAAAAAAAAACACACACACACACAAAACAAAAAAAAACAGTTCTGAAACCGATAACAATGAATATTGATGTGGTATCCGTTAGTTCAACACAGTCACCAGAGAGCCTCACCTATGAGCCTGCAGGGAAAGCGAAGTGAAAGAGGAAGATGAGATATGGACAGACGTCGAACCCACGCGAAGGTGTTAAGAGATTGTCTCTACGCAAAGGTGGTAACTGTAGAACTGTGTGATTCCACAAGGAGGTGGTAAATGGTTATAGGAGGGCGATAGCGAGCGCGAGTAGGCGCCAAGCTGCTATTTTAAAACATGTAAAAGTGACGAAGCAGAATTTTGTTTGTATACAACGGCACCGTGATTCGATTCAATACACCTTTTTCTGTTATTTTCATTAAATGTCTATGGCGTGGAAAACATTTGGAAATGTTATTGACCCTAGGATATAGAATATCAACCTCAACTCCCCAACCACATTGATATGTAACATACACCCATCTTTTATTTTGTACATCTAGATACTGCAAGACAAAACTGATGTGTTCCTTAAAATCTGTAATTGTAGCATAGATATTTTAGTCAATAGTCATACAGGTAGAGTACTTATAAATTCAGTCCTTTGGGTTACTTTAACCTCTCGTCCACTTCGAGTACGTTGTTATTTTAGGATCTGAAACAATTTCATCACTGCGTTATGTCAAGTCTGAAGGATGCTGTTTTGAATCATCACGACTGGGCAAAAGAATCTCCTCTATTCTTTTCAAGGCGTAATCTGGGCCCTGAGTTTCCAGCTTTGTCTTGAAGGGTTAAATCTGACGATACAATCTCTAAGGGTTACAACAGTTGAAGGGGACGGATAACTTCTAGGTTTGTCAATTTCAATCGAGCTACTCACTGTTTACCATCTCTTCCTGTAAATATTTCCATCGCCCTAGCTAAAGTGCTTATACCTGCACTTGTTACGTACGTAACATGACTTCGAACAGATAAATTTGTGACGCGATCTATTGACTTTTTACTGTGCATATCAATAAGTAACTTAAATTTGGTTAAAAAAATCTGCGCCTAAAATAGCTCGATCCACTTAGCGATTACTGGAGTTAAAATCTAAATCCAGAGTTAAAATTTTGAAACCGAAAGTGTGTATTATGTTCTATTTTCAACATACAATTTAAAAGAATTACATATTTTATGGTTTGATGTTGCCGGAATGATAGATAAGTCAGCCCCGCTGTCCACACGAAAACGTAAGCGGTTATTTTATCAGTGACGAATAATTAATATTTACGGCCATCTTTTGATTCAACAGCAGCAGAACCTGCCGTCGCATCTACTGCTGAGCAGAGTTTTCCGATATCTTTCAGCTAGAAGGGCTTTCACATTTATTAGGGTAGCATTGATCACCAAATTTTAAATCATAGTAGCAGCAGGATCCATTGGGATTACATTTTTTTCTTCAATGACTACGACACTTGCTTCGATTAAAGCTAGAGTGTCGATATTTATTTTTAGATTGTCTGTCGTAATTTAGTTCCGAAATTTCTTTTCCTAAGTTAGAGATTTTTATCAAGCACATATTCATCACAGAAGTATCTGCACAAGCAGAATAAATTTCTGTAGTTGAGTTCATTTCAAAATTTTATCCTCCATTATCCATAAGCTATTCAACTTTTCACTACTCACAATCAAAATATGTTTAATATATTCTGGCCATTTGCCAAGCCATAAGGATCGCAAGCCTTTAACCGTTATATTTGTTCTAGCAAGTGATTGCATTTTATGCAATAATTGGTTTAGTTTCATATCGTCGAGTGAAATTCCTGTAAGCGATTTTTTGATACTTCTTGGCTTTCTTTAGAAGTACTTAAAAGCCTTTCTTTAGCAGTTACGTGTTTATCAATCCGTTCACTTTAGATTATATCCCATATATTTTCTACAATTTTGGCTCTAATTGTGCTAAAAGGCAGTTAAATTAGTCGGATCTTGGGTAATATTAGCAACTGAAAACTGTGCGTCAACTTTGAAGAATCAAATATCTGGTTTTTTCAACCCAAAAAAGGCGAAATTTTAACGCTTGCCTTATTTGCGGTAAATTCTTCACCAGTGGTAGTCAAAGCAAGACTGTCGGTCTGCATAATTCGATGGTTACAATAAATTTTTCATTCAAAGTGTCACCAGATGTTATAAACGCTATTCTCAGCTAATAAATAGGATAATTTAACAACTTAAATCATAAATCCAGAATGGATTAAGCATAATTTAATTCTTAATAAAAGAAAACGTTAAGGTTATAACATCAAAGCGAACTCTTTTTTATTTACGTTTTTCTTTTGTTGCCAATCTAGAGAAACTAAAATTCGAAACAACAAAGTTAATATTATACGTAGAGGGAAGCTGCTACAGCTATTCACACCAGTACCACCATATAATTTGTCCGCAAATACGTTTTTAAAGGTTCATTTATACCTTCCAAAATAGACTTTGCTAATCGTACCGCAATGACAGCTCCGAGAAGTTCTATTCTAGGTATAGTAAGACGGCTCACTAGAGCTACTCCGGCCTAAATGCAGGAATACTTCAGCTTCCTCCTCACAGCGTAGGAATGCATATGCATTTGCTGATACGTCAGAAACGATATGCAGTGTTGCAACTTCACTTTGCCCTGACAACATCTGCCGAGGAATAGAAATGTGTTCAACAAGAGACAGATAGTTTAACCATTCCTTATATTTGATTAGAAGATCTTTCGGGAGTGGTTCATCTCATCTAAGTTTCCTTTTCCAGGCTATTTGTAACAAGATTCAAGGCTATTTGTAACAAGAGCAACAGCAAGTAAAATCGACGGATAACAGACCGGTTTGAAACTGGTGGATGAATTTACTTTCTGTTGATCGCAGAAAGTAAATTTCTTTTCCTAACACTTTCCTGTAATCTCACTAACGTTTCCGGCAAAGCACATTTGTTCACAGCACAACATCACATTCAAAGCACATCAGTTCATCAGAAGTAGTATTCCAATTAAAGCCTTTCAAAAGTACCTTTTGATTTCCATCTTGAATTCCTGTGTGAGACCAGCAATACAAATTAGAACATTTTTCTTGCATTATATTTGTAGCTTGTTTTTGAAATAGATGCGACTCTTCCTCATCATCTGCACTTGTAACTCAGTTGTAAACGCAAAAACATGCTTTTAGTTTCTCCATGGTAAATTTCAGCTCTTCTATTTGGTATTTTTCTAAATTTAAATGATGCGAAATTGTCGCATTTAACACGAAAGAACTTGTTGTAACGCCGAACACTATACGACAGTGTCTATATATCTTTAATTTTCCAGGAGTCTTTCAACATAAAAATCGAAGTACATCTTGATCTTCTGGCCGTACGATAAGCTGAAGGAAAGCTTGTTTGATATGTGCTATTACTCCTACAGTATGCAGTCGGAATCTATTCAATAGTGGGAAGCCACTTGTTTAAGACTAGGACCCGTACTCAGATAATCATATAAAGAAGCACAGATAAAGGCATCTAACACAGGGTAGATTTTTATAGTTGTGCTTGATAACTTAATTACCGGTTTATGAGGTAAATAATGAATGCTACTGTTGATAGGAGATGGCTCTACTTATTCTGTTGTGCCTTCTTTCTACTGCTGCAAAAAAAATTCATGACATTTGTCAAAGATATCTTCTCTTCTTAACCGTTTAGTGACAGATTGTAACCCCGTTTCAGCTATGTCGTAGTTATCAATGGAGAGAAGGATGCTCCACTATTCAAGGTAAAGCCACCTCATAACGATTGTCACTGATTTTTCCCACCTTTTTGGCATGCCTTCGGGGTGTAGTGGTCTGCACGCAGGGTGCGTATTCCAGAGGTCCGCGGTTCGATTCCTGGCGAAGGCATTGCTAATTTTTCAAGTCTCTTGCTTCTAAAAATCCTAATGTCTCTACAGTGGCGCTGAACTAAAAGGGTGGTGGATGATGATTCTCCACATCCGGGATTTGGCGATTGGGTCCCCTAAAAATCCCAGTCACCTTTTAAAAGAGGGAGTATATAAGGTATTTCTCCCGCCTTCTTGGCATGCCTTCGTGTTGTGGTGGTCTGCACGCTGGGCGCGTATTCCAGAGGTCCGTGATTTCGATTCCCGGCGTAGGCGTTGCTAATTTTTCATCTTGCCTGCTTCCTTAAATATATAATGTCTCTACACTGTCGCCCGAACTAAAAGAGTGATGGATGAGGATTCTCCACACCCAGGATTTAACGATTGGGTCCCCTAAAATTCCCAGTCGCCCTTTAAAAGTGGGAGTATATAAGGTATTTCTCCTGTCTGCTTGGCATGCCTTCGGGGTGTGGTGGTCTGCACACAGGGCGCGTATTCCAGAGGTTCTCGGTTCGATTCCCGGTGAAGGCGTTTCAAATTTTTCATTTCTCCTGCTTCCAAAAAATACCTAATGTCTCTACAACTGTTAACAGTTAAGGTTTCCTTGAAATGCATTACAGTTTCATCTTCTAGCACCTTATTGATTTCCTGTTCAGTCAGATCACCGATGCTCAAAGTTTGTAACTTCCCCTCCTCAAAGTTTCTAACCTGAAAGTTTTTTAGGCAGATTGTGATACTCTTAAGTACTTCTCTTCGAGTATCTGTTCTTCGAGTAGTAGTCGAGTATCTTCTCTTCGAATAAGTTTCGAGGGCAGTCCCTAAATTTATTTGTTAAGGCTTTTGATAGTTCAGCATCAGAAAATTATTGCTGCTTTAAGCATACAGAAATAAAATTACTCGTAATAAAAAATATTCCACAAAAGAGAAATATACTAGAAAAAAATTATTCCACAAAAGAGAAGCTAAAAATTACTGAGAATATACAAAGTGGTGTTTTTGAACTTAAAATATATGTAGAGAGAGAAACAGAAAGAGAGAGAGAATATCGAACTTCCAAAGGCAAAAAACGGCCTGAAAGAAAGAAGAAGATAAATTTTCGAACATTTTTTAGATATGTAGTAAGTGAAATAAGCTTTCAAATGAAAATTAAAAACTAGTGATTGTGCTGTAGTAGATAAGTGTTATCAGATCTGGATTAAGCAAAAGAAGCATGTGAGTAGCATGAAAATGACAGTTCTGCATCAGGAGGAGCTGAGGAGCTGAGGCGTGGTCAATGACATCACAGAGGGCGGGGCCAAAGGCAACGTCATCACACTAGGAGGCGTGGTTTCGAGTGGAGTTGAGTTGTTCGTAGACTACTGATTGAGTTGTAGACCTCCTGCTTTTCATTAAAAGTTAGTTTTTTTAATTTGGCAACGGAGTCATGGCGTCCTCTAGGGATGAAAAAAGAAAATAATCTATTTAGGAATTGCTTATGGCGTCCTCTAGGGATGAAAAAAAGAAAATAATCTATTTTAGAAGTTTCTTTTATTAAAAAAATGTTCTATGATTCAAAATATAGGATCGAACCGTGAAACAAAATATCTCACCAGCTGAGTAGTTTGAAGATTTTAACCACTAAGCTGACGGGATACATTCAGATTTAGGTAAAAAAGCCTATATAAGAAAATGGAATTTGAATCAGCTCATCAATTGCAATTATGCCTGCTCCAGGAGAAGCCACCGTTGCGGTGTGTTTATACACTGTTTTATGTGTTATTTTATCATCCATCTATATTTTTACAGAATTTCATAAAATTCCTATTGATTTTACGCTACGTCTTAACGACAGTGGGAACTTATCATTATCCATATGAAGAATAATTCAATAGGTTATGAATATGAATTTATCGTATCAGGATCCGGCTCATGTTGCAAGTTTTTTGGTGGTGTTGAAGCTTTACATCGTGCTGCAGGAGGTAAAGTTTCCAGGAAAGAGATTCAAACATGGTTAGAGGGAATAGATGCGTACACGCTTCACAAGCCAATTCGATTCGCCGAAAATTTCCAACGAATAGAGTAATCGTGTATTCTATAGATCAACAACAATGGCAAGCTGATTTAGTGGATGTTTCACATTTACGTGATCATAATGATGGTTATCGATATATATTAACCTGTATTGACATATTATCCAAATATGCATGGGCTATTCCTCTGAAACAAAAGAGGAGAAGATATTGTGAAAGCGTTTCAAAAAATAATGAGTCAACGTAAACCAAAATTCCTTCAAACGGATCAGGGCACCGAATTTAAAAATAAAGTGTTTATAAAATTTTTAAAAAGAAATCAAGTTAAACTTTTCAGTACATTCAATACTACTAAAGCATCCGTGGTGGAAAGGTTTAATCGCACTTTGAAAACAAAAATGTGGAAATACTTTACGACTCGAAATACATATAAATATGTAGATATCTTGGACAAATTAATAGAAAGTTATAATGCTACTTTTCATTCAAGTATAATGCGAGCTCCCATAGAAGTCAATTCAGAAAATGAGAGTGACGTATGGTTTACCTTGTATGAAAATCATCCTTCTAACGTTTCTAAATGTATATTCGCTGTAGGAGATGTGGTACGTGTTTCCAAACTAAAGCTTACTTTCGAAAAAGGCTATGAAACCAATTGGACGGAAGAACTATTTGTGGTGACAGAGTGTGTTAAAAGACATCCAGCTGTGTATAGAATTAAAGATTTACTTGGAGACTCAGTAAAAGGAACGTTTTATGCACAAGAGTTGCAGAAAGTGAGACTGAAAGAGGAATATCGCATTGAAAAAATTTTAAAGAAACGTATACATAAAAATCAGACAGAATACTTTGTAAAATATCGCGGTTATCCCGACAAATTCAATCAATGGATTCCAGCTTCTAATTTACTCTCGATATAAAGTGTGAGAAAATACTGTATCCGAATCATTTATGAAAATGAGTTTCTACGTAACACTTCCGAGCGATAGCTCTATGAATTATTTCCCCGAAAATAAAATTTCACATTTTATAACACGTTTACCTGTTCCCATTGAATTAAAAGGTATGTGGGAAGTTGGTTTGGTTGAATTGCTATATCCGCACACATGGCACAATGTGAATGCAGACAATAACTTAATTGGATTTGTTTTAGAGAAAGATGGTGAAATGTTAGGTCGTAGATTACCTCCAGGATGTTATGAAACAGTACCTGATATTTTAAAAGCTATTTATATTAAAGAACATCAAAACAAAATAATATTTAATTATAACCCAGTAACAAAACGAGTGAAAATCAAAGTGAAAAATAACGCTAAAGTGATTTTACATGATGGGTTAGCACAAATGTTAGGTTTTGAACCTATGGAAATTACATCTACAGATGATAGTTCCGAAACTGTTGTAGAAAGTCCTTTTGCAGCCGACCCCTGTGCACATTATCGTGTATTAATGATATATACGGATATTGTAGAACCTCAAATCGTAGGAGATGTTTTAGCTCCTCTTCTTCGAATTGTAAGAGTAACTGGTAGCGATGGAGAAGTGGTGAGTGCACTATTTGATAGACCTCATTATTTACCTGTGAATCGGAAAATGATAGACACTTTGGAAATCGATATAAGAACGCATATGGGAGCATTTACGCCATTTGAACGAGGAAGGTCATACGTGAAACTTCATTTCCGTCAAAAATACTTGTCATAATGTATGTACCTTATCAGTGTTGTCAAAAATCTTTTGAAGATTATTATGTACAACAAACAGGACATGGATTGAATTATTATCAAGGTAATCTTTATCAGAGAGGATACGGATTAGGGGGTCTATTCAGATCCTTCTTTCGCGCGCTGCCGTACCTCTTATTAAATCAGGAGCCAAAGCAATTGGAAAACAAGTATGGCATAGTGGACTGAATTTGTTAAATGATGTATCACAAGGACAAGATGTAAAAGAGGCTGCTAAGCGTCGACTGAAAGAAGCCGGAAATATATTAACAGGATAAAGCTGCTACTAAAGTGAAGAACATGATTGGTTCTGGACGAGTCAATAAAAAGCAGAAACGTAGGAAAAAGCGTACCATTTCTCACCGATCAAAGAAGGTGAAAGCACAGGATATTTTCTCTTCTCTAAAAAAAAGTATGACTTCGTATATTCATCGAGACTCTCCCGTTTGCGTCAAATCTGAATTAGATTTATTTACCATTCCTCCTACGCAAACAGCTATAGAAAAAGGACAGTTTGTGGAATATCACCCTCTCGCAAATATACGAGATGGAGGACCTATCGAATTTAATGTTTCTGGCAGTGGTGAAGACTATATTGATCTAGCTGCTTCTTATATACACGTGAAAGTTAAAGTAGTTAAGGCAGACGGATCCAGTTTAACGGACAAAGAACCGGTTGCCCCTGTAAATTTATTTTTACATTCTCTCTTTTTCGCAAGTAGATGTAAGTTTAAATGAAAGAAACATTTCATCTGCGACAAATACCTATCCTTATAGAGCCTTCATCGAAACATTATTGAATTATGGGGAAGATGCAAAGAAAAGTTTACTTACTCACCTGCGAAGGATTTTTCCAAGACACTTCACCTAATAAAATAGATGTCTTAGCTCAAGATGCGGATGCTGGACTAAAAGCTCGCGGTGAACTTATAAAAAACAGTCAAAGTGTGGATTTGATAGGACAATTACATTGTGACATTTTTCAACAAAATCGACTCATGTTAAATTTAGTTGATGTGAAAATTAAAATGGTGCGTAGTAAATCTGCTTTCTGTCTAGTTTCTCTACTGAGAAAGATGCCGATTATAAAGTGATCTTGGATCATGCTTCTTTGTTTATCAGAAAAGTAAAAGTAAACCCTGGAGTCTCTCTCTCGGACATGTAAAAGCGTTGGAAAAAAGTTCTGCTAAATACCCTATAGATCGAGTATTATGCAAAACATATTCAGTATCTAAGGGAAGTTGGTCTTTTATGCAAGATAATGTATTTTTAGGATTGATGCCCAAGCGAGTCATTATTACTTGTGTAGAAAATGCTGCAATGAATGGACAATATTCAATGAATCCTTTTCTGTTTGCCCATCATCATGTCAACTTTATATCGATTTATGTAGATGGACAACCCGTTCCATGTAAACCAATGGACCTTGATTTCGAATCTAATCATTATGTGCGTGCTTACCACAGTTTATTTTCTGGATTTAATCGCGACAAAGGCATCTATTTATCTCGAGAAGAATTTGTGAAAGGACATGTGTTATATGCTTTCGATTTAACTCCAGATATATGTGTGATGGATCTCATTTTAACTTACAGCATCAAGGCAATTTGCGAGTAGAAATTAAATTTGCTAAAGCTCTCTCTGTGACTCTCTCGGTGCTAGTCTATGCAGAATTTCAAAACGTGATTGAAATAACAAAATCTCGTCATGTCATGTACTATGCGATTTTGCTAATTAAGCAATGGACAGCCTTGAAATAAACAGAGCACTCTCTCAGAATGCAAAGACACGAAAAGCATTTCTGGGAGTTTTTGCAAGTGATCGACTCCCTATCGAGATCAAGAAATATCCAAGTTGCTTTATAGCTAATGTAGATCGTGCATCTGAATCCGGTAGTCACTGGTTAGCCTTTTACATTTCATCCCCACAGCATTTAGAATTTTTCGATTCCTATGGACATGACCCATCCTATTTTCCTGGACCGATAGCCAAGTATGCAGAACGATTTCCACAGATGGACTTTAATTCGATGACTCTCCAAACTAATGTAACAGCAGTATGTGGTCAATATTGCATATACTATTTACATTGTAAATGTCGTGGACAATCTCTCAATGATATATTGTTATCTTTCATCTTTCATACCTCAAGATATATCTAATGATATTAAAGTATATATTTTGTAATCAAGAAATTTCATGTAAGATCTTCTTTCTATCAATAAATACATTTAAACTTTATACATTATGTGTCTTGTCTCATTTAATATGGAATTTCCAAAGCTACAACATCCTTTCACAATGGTGATTTCGGGACCCACTGGATGTGGGAAAACCTATTTTGTACGAGAACTGTTAAAGTATAAAGAGGAAATGTTTTCAACGATTCCCGATAAAGTAGTATGGTGTTATGGAATTTACCAACCTCTGTATAATGATATACCGAATGTTACTTTTGTCGAAGGTTTACCAATTAAATATCAAGAATATTTAGGTTCCAACACATTATTCATCATAGACGATTTGATGAGCGAATGTGGGAATGATAAACGTCTGACTAACTTATTTACAAAAGGAAGTCATCATTTAAATTTAAGCGTTATTTTTATCACACAAAACTTTTTTCACAAGGGAAAAGAAATGCGTGAAGTGACTTTAAATGCACACTATTTGATTTTGTGTAAAAACACAGAAGAGATGTCAGTCAAATCGTACATTTAGGAAAACAGCTCTTTCCGCGTCATTTAAAGTTTTTTCAAGAAGTATATGAAGATGCAACCAAGAAACCTTTTTCTTATTTTATTCATTGATCTGCGCAGTGAAACTCCGGAAGAATTACGTTTACGCACCCAAATTTTACCTAACCAAGTACAGTATGTTTATCAAATGAAACATTACTAAAAAATAATAAAAACAACAGCTTTATAAAATGCATCATCATTTTATAAAATGACGCTGGTCAAGAAACAGCTAAGACAGTTACAGCTGTTAAACATTTGTCCGTTAAAGTTACGGAAACAGCTATTAAAGAAAATTAATATCAATTGCATAAAAGCTATATGCGAATGTAGTTTAAACATACTCAAAGGAAACGTTCCATTGTCAGAGCAACAAAAGAAGTCTCTCTGTAAGCATAAAACAACTTTACGAAAATTAGGAAATCGTAAGATTTCTCTTGTGAAGAAACGAAAATTAATTTTACAAAAAGGAGGTTTTCTAAACGTTTTGATTCCTGCTGCTCTCAGTGTTCTTACAGGACTAATCAATGGAGTTCACTAAGAAATATGTGTTAGTTCCAGAAGAGATGATGACAAAGCATACCATTTCTGATAAACAGTTAAGTGAATTGGATAAAGCCATGATGCATATTTTAAACAGTTCAGATGACGATCGTGAGAAATTAGTGCGTTATTATGAACTTTTACAAAAGAAATTGAACTTAAAGGAATACAATTCACCCTTTAAACCTCCTAAAGACGACTCACAAAATTCTTTAGACGATTCAGCTGAGATGAAGAAAGTGAAAGAGGAAGAAGAAGAAGCCCCCTCTTCTGTGACAGACGGCGACAAACAGATGACTGTAACTGATTATTCTACTGTTATCTTAGACAGTGTACCTTTACGAATGAGAAGAAAAGCACAAAATGCATTAGCTATTTTAAAGCGACATCCTGATATTCTTAAGTGGAATGATAAAGGCGAGGTACTTTATCATAAGGAAAAAATTAAGCATTCAAATATTATAGACTTATTCAATATCCTTTTTACAACCAAAAAGAAAAAGATTAATATTCCTGCTAAAAACGAATTTTTAAAAGCCTTGACTGAAATCAACATGCCAATGGACTATATCAAAAATGAAAATTTACAGAATCATGATGTTAATATGAAAAAAAAAAGTATTGCATGTTAAATCTGTAAAACATATACGTTCTCCACGAAAATGGGAACCTTATTAAATGAATAAAATTATTATTTTTACATATAGACTCTTTCTTCTCTCTACAATCAATATTTGTTTTACATCGTTTTTAAATGTTATGAAAAACATTCATTTCACCAAGAAGCTTTTACCTTTCAATACATTTATTTTCAAAGAATAAATTTCTGTATTATACATAAAATATACTTGGAATTTTCTTTCCTTAGTTAATATCAAATTAACAGCAATATCCATTTACTAACATTTGATATACACGTTTGCTTTAAAATTAAAACTAAAATTTCAATATATTTCTATTAAAAACATAAGGAAAAAAAATAATCATAACATCAACCAAACATAGAAATTTAAATAGAATAGCTGTACTTATATTAATGCATTTTTATAATCTTCATAACATTTCGATTCAAAAAACCTATCACAAAATAAATGAACAATTTTTTTTTCTGCCTTAAAGAATCTCTTATATTTTTAAAATTAATACATAAAAATATATCTTCACCAATATAATTCATCAACACTTACCGTAATACATTCTTGTCTTGTCTTGTTTGGGAAGGACAGTCTATAAGGCGTCATTATATTATTGCGTTATCATGGTAAGATAGGTTAATGGAAAACTCTGATAATCACTGAAAACTTATTTGAAAGAGTTGTTATTCTTAAGTTTGACATTACTTATACATATATGCATAAGGGTAATCTTAAAAGCATCATCCACTTATCATGATAGAGTAATGGAAAATTTCTAAAACTCTGATAATCATATGTGAAAGAATGTATTATCTTAAGGTTGTTGTTGCTATTCCAAGTTTGACAATACATACAGAAGTGAAGGAAGATCCTTGATAAGCGTTGTAGACTTCACGTTATGATAAGGGTTAATGGAAGTTGAAATCGTATTCGAAAGAAAGGGTTATCATAATGTTGTTGTTGTCCTGGTTCAGATTATACAAATCTGAAATGTTTCGAGAACATTCTTTAATCCCTATAAAAGGTGTTTCAGAAATGGAAAAAGTCAGTTCTCTTCTCAACCTTGAAAAGAGCAAGTCTTCCTGATTTGATTCACAGAGCTTAATATTTTTTTTGCGATGGCTTTTGAACAAGATCACCAATCTGTTTCTTCCAATGTAAGTATTAGAACTGTTATATATATTTTTAATTATTATTTTTTTTTCAGACTAGATGAACTTTTTAAAATGAATTATAATCAATCTATTTTTTTAATACATGATTTATATGTTTGCTTCAAGTATGATTTGAATTCAAAGAGCTTTTAATAGCCTGCTTTTTACATAGTTTAGAGTTCAAAAAAAATTTTTTTAAAGCATTTGTAAGAGTCTGAAGGAAATCAGTCGAGTTTGTATATCGTTGCATGATATTTTTAATGCATGAATGAACTATTTTTTATGAGAAGATGCTTTTATTTTGAATCTTTATTTTAAAAGTATATTTATTATAAGATAATGAATGAAGTATCAAATACTTTTAAACAGCAGTCATCATTTTTGAATATTCTAAAAAAAAATTTTTTTATTAACACACAGTTTTTTCTTTTTTTTTTTTTTTTTTTTTCTTAGTTTATCGACTTTGGAATTCAGGAGGAGGAATTCAACTCTCTAACTTCTGAAAGAATGGAACCTCAACCAAGTACAAGAGAGGTAACATTTTTTTTTTTTTTAATAGTGACTTGCAGATATAGTTATTTATTCAATTCAATGGTTCTCTTTCCCTTCAGTCGTTGTTGTACAATGTGTGATTATTAGGAAAAAAAGTAGTGAGAGAGAGATTTTTAAACTAAACTAAAATTCTTTAAACGTAAAGAGTTAATACTAAACGATTTCTAAAATGATTTATGTAATTAAATTTTTTTTTAGTGAGGGATAATTAAAAATGCGTAATTTTATAATGAGGAAAGCATGCATATTGAAAGCCGCTTTTCTATCTTTCACAGGTTTGCGACATATGTGGTAAAAGTTTTAGTAAAAAGAGTAATTTAGTTCGTCATTCGAAAACACATGAGGGAAAAATCTTTCACTGTGAAGAATGTCAGGCTCAGTTTACGAGAGCAGATAGTTTACGAAGACACATACAAAATATTCATGTTAAAAAAAATACCTTTTCATGTGAAAAATGCAACGACGTGTTTAGCAGAAAACATGATTTAATGAAACATAACCGTACTCAACATGGTACTGTTCAAAGTATTAAAAGGAAAAGTAATAACCCCCATCCATTAAACAAGCGAATGAAGCGTCGGCCTTAAATGTCTTCAGTTCTTTTACAATTATCGCCACCAAAGAAATTAATCAAGATCTAGAAATATTTTTAAATAATATCAAATTAAATATTATGTCGAAACTCGAGGAAGAAATCAATGAGAAAAAGGCTTTAAAATGGTACATTATAGTAACAGCACAGTTCTCTAGAATAGGACATGATGGGGACGAAGAGGTTATTAAACCACATTTTAGATCTACCTGCCTCACAAGTTTAACAATAGAGAATGTTGAAGAACAATTGAATGAGGCCTATAACAAGATAAAAAAATCGTTTGAAGAATTTTTACAAAATGGCTCGGGATGGACATTAGATAAAATTGAAAAATTAGAACTCTGCACAGCTCGATATATCATCCCTTAGCCGCTAGTAGTTATATACCTCTTCCCAAAGAACTTGCCATGAAAAAAGCCATTTTAAACATTCAAAATGAGGATCAAAAATGTTTAGTGTGGTGCTTACTTGCACACAAATATGATCTTTCTAGAGAAAATAATGCAAACCGAGTAAATCATTATAAACCCTATGAACATGAAATAAAATTAGGGAAATATTGAATGCCCTGTTCCTATTACAAAAATATCCATCTATTGAAAAACTAAATAATCTTAGAATAAATGTATTTGGATATGAAGAAAAAGAAGTCTTTCCCCTCTACATTTCAAACAGAAAAGAAACTGATTGTATTAATTTACTTTTAATCAGTGATGACACTAAACAACATTATTGCTTAATAAGAAATATGTCTCGGTTATTAGGTAACCTCACAAAACATGATGGAAATATGTTCTATTGCATGAGATGCTTGCATAGATTCACCCGTGAAAACCTGTTAGAAGAACATGCAAAATACTGTCAACATCAAAACATACAGAGAATTAAAATGCCATCAGAAGAAGAAAAAATATTAGAATATACCAATTATCAATATGAAGAGTCTATTCCGTACATTATTTATGCTGATTTTGAAGCTTTAATTGAAAACATAGACACTTGTACACCTGATGTAGCTACTGCGTCTTTTACAGAAAAAATACATCATCATAAAGCTTGCGGATATGCTTACATAATTGTAGGACCTGATGGGAAAAGCGTTAAACCTGTAACAGTATATAGAGGTCCAAATGCAGTAGACCATTTTATACAAAATATTTTACGTGAAGAAGAGGAAATAGCCGAAAAATTATATAGTATTGTACCTCTTTCCATGACATCTCAAGATGAACAAAATTTTAAAAATGCAACTCATTGCTACTTATGCAAAAAAAATTTGAATAATGATCGTGTAAAAGATCACGATCATCTTACGGGAAAGTATAGAGGAGCTCTGCACAATAAGTGCAATTTGAAATTTAAACTTCAAAAGAAAATTCCTGTCGTATTTCATAATTTAAAACACTATGATGCACATTTAATCATGCAAGGCATCGGCAAAATTCAAAACAGGGAGTTTCATGTTATACCTAATAATATGGAAAAATATATTTCTTTCAGTATTAAAAGAAAATGGAATAATCTAAGAATATCTTTAATTTTTATTGATAGTTTACAGTTTATGAACGCGTCTTTGGAAAAACTTGTATCTAACTTGCCTGAAGAAAAATTTAGGATTTTAAAAGAAAATTTTCCCAATGATCAAAACATAAAATTATTATTACGGAAGGGAATATATCCATATGAATACATCAACTCTTTTGATAAATTTAAAGATACTCAGTTACCATCCATAGAGAACTTTCGAAGTACTTTAACTGGTGAAAGTATATCTTCGGATGATTACATTCATGCTCAAACTGTTTGGCAAGCTTTTCATATTCAAAATTTAGGTGAATATCATGATTTATACGTAAAAAGTGATGTTTTACAATTAGCAGATGTGTTTGAAAATTTTAGACAGCTTTGTAAAACTTACTATAGTTTAGATTGTGCGCATTTGATGACTGCACCTGGATTAGCTTGGCAAGCCTGCTTAAAAATGACTGATCAAGCTTTGGAATTATTAACGGATGTTAATATGCATTTATTTATAGAGCAGGGCATTCGTGGAGGTGTGTCCATGATTACCCAGCGTAAGTCTGTAGCAAATAATAAATATCTGAAAAATTTTGATTCAACTAAAGAAAGTAAATATATCTTATACCTTGATGCAAACAATCTCTACGGGTGGGCTATGAGTCAACCCTTACCCTATGGAAGTTTTGAGTGGGTTGAACCTCATAAGAATGTCATAGAAAAGATTTTGACTTTATCAGAAGACAGTTTGGATGGATACATCTTGGAAGTAGACCTTGAATATCCCAAAGAACTTCATAATGCTCATAACGATTATCCCTTAGCTCCAGAAAAAATGAAAATAATAGCTAATCATCTTTCACCTTATGCAGTCAGTGTACTGAAAAATAATAAATTTATCTCGAATACTAAATTAGTTCCTAATTTAAATCCTAAATTTAATTATGTCATCTATCATAAAAAATTTACAGTTATATCTCTCTTTAGGTATGAAATTAATGCATGTTCACAAAATTATAAAATTTAAACAAAAAGCTTGGTTACAACCTTATATACAGTTTAATACAGATCAACGTAAAAATGCACAGACAGGATATGAGAAAGATTTTTTTAAACTAATGAACAATAGTGTGTACGGTAAAACTATGGAAAACGTGAGGAAACATGTTGATGTCCAATTAGTCAATACAGAAAAAAAAGCGAAAAAATTGGTAGCTGCACCAACCTTTCATAATTTCAGAATTTTTGATAATGATTTGGTTGGAGTACAAAGGTTGAAAAACTGTGTTAGTTTAAAAAACAGGCCCATATATGTAGGATTTGTCATACTAGAACTTAGTAAATATCATATGTACAATTTTCATTACAATCATATCAAAAAACAATATGGAGAAAGAGCCAAGCTACTTTTTACTGACACAGACTCTCTCACGTACGAAATTTTAACAGAAGATGTATATCGAGATATGAGTTTTCATACGCATCTGTACGATATGTCAGATTATCCGAAGACTCATGCTTTATACAATATCAATAATAAAAAGAAAATTGGATGCTTCAAAGATGAAATGAATTCCGAAACCAATACTGGAGTTTATAGGACTGAGGGCGAAAATGTACTCTCTACTGTTGGATGAAAGTGAGAAGAAAACCGCGAAAGGAGTTAAACGAAGTGTTATTAAAAGGAAACTTAAACATAAAAATTATAGAGATTGTTTAGAGAAATCTATCTTCTTCACCAGAGAATTACAATATAATATTCAGAGTAAGAACCATCATCTTTTTACCATGGCTATAAATAAAATCGCACTTTCAGCTTTTGATGATAAAAGATATATTTTAAAGGATGGAGTGCACTCCTTAGCCTATGGGCATATCAATATAAATAATGTTTAATGGAAAACAAAATGGATTATTTTTAAAGTGGTCAATGACTTCACAGTGGAGTTATGGGAAGGGGCTGGCACCTGGGTATTCAAAAAAACCCCATGACTGTGAAACTGTGAAGAGAGACCCTCAGGTGTCAGAAAGCTGAGGCTTTCGATAAAAGCCCATGTGTGTGTGTGTGTGTGTGTGTGTGAAATTTTAATGAGTATTATGTTATTCTTTCCAATATTTTAACAGTTATTTCTTTCCAGAAAAGCAGATATTTTGTTTCAGGGTTCGATCCTATATTTTGAATCATAGAACATTTAAAAAAAAAAAAAGAAACTTCTAAAATAGATTATTTTCTTTTTTCGTCCCTAGAGGACGCCATAAGCAATTCCTAAATAGATTATTTTCTTTTTTCATCCCTAGAGGACGCCATGACTCCGTTGCCAAATTAAAAAAAACTTACTTTTAATGAAAAGCAGGAGGTCTACAACTCAATCAGTAGTCTACCAACAACTCAACTCCCCTCGAAACCACGCCTCCTAGTGTGATGACGTTGCCTTTGGCCCCGCCCTCTGTGATGTCATTGACCACGCCCTCAGCTCCTCAGCTCCTCCTGATGCAGAACTGTCATTTTCATGCTACTCATGTGCCTAGGACATCAAAGAGAAACACACAGAAAAGTACTTAGGAACTCAAGGGAAGTGGGCACTAGAAAAAATTTCCCATAGTGAGTTTTACCATAGAATATATTATGCAGCTAAACCAAGACTGAGAGAGAGAAGAAATGAGAAAAAACAGGAGTAAATGTATATGGGACCACCAAAACCTTTTAAGTGCTTAGGGTCTCTAAATGTCTCAATTTGGCTCTTGTGCTTATATAAATGGTGTAAATATTAAAGACATTGTGTCCAGTGGTGCCATTTTGAAGATCAAAAAGAATCAGTCTAGTATCCTTCTTGGACATGATGATACATTTAAGCTTCTAAGAAGGATTTCTAGATGCGAGATTTTATGTGGAAATCGTCAGATTAGTATTGAAGAAGAAGCAGAATCTAATCATGTATACACTACAGAGTGATTATGTCAGATACCTAAAGCTGTCAAGAAGATGGTAGTTACACTGACAAACAAATCTAGAACTGTGTCGGGACCTTTGCTATCGATTACTCTCGAACACATCGGGCGTAAGAAAAGAAGCAAAAAAAGGGTAAAATGAAAACTAATAAAGGTAAAATAATACTTCTGCTGTGCACAACTTCAATGGAATCGATATGTTAAAGCCATTGTGTGTTATTAAAATATATATTCCGCGATGGTCTAGACGTGTTAATATGGCGTTATTGCTTGATGAAAACTTTCTATGTTTGCAGGGAAAATTGACCAAGTGGGACAAAATTTGAGAATAAATAATAGCAACTTAGTCGCTTTTTCTTATTTATTAAATGTTTCTTCGGGATATAAATAAAACTTCATATGTCTGTATATAAATAATTATAAAATTCTTGATCTCTTACTACAGCTTAACACATGATGACGTTTCGGTTGTAATAAAGTTTGTAGCCTTGGACAGAAATTACAAGAAATTATCTTCTTCACGGA